CTCGAACGTTCGGAGAAATAGTGCCCAGCTTTGGTCCCGTTTGCGGGTGACTTTGCGGACCCGGCCGAAGCGTAGGTGACTAACTTTGTCAACCTCGGTCTGCTCTATTTCCGAACCAATCCGAATTAAATTCGGCAACCAATCAGAAAAAAGGGCAAACTAATGATATGTGGACGTTGAAGTTCGTACTCATAAATTAACCTATTAAGCTATGGGCTACTGGGAGTGACCCACCCCCCCCCCCCCCCCCCCCCGGGGATTTTTGATTTTTCACCACCATGATTTTCTGAAAGGGTAGGACCTACGGACTTCCCCAAAAAAAGTTTGCACCAAAATGTTGGCAATCTACAGAGTTACGGCCCTTGATTGTCCAGAAATTTAAAAAATACTTGATTTTTATGTTGGGGTTTTCTGTGAAGCCAAAAATGTGTACTTTCATATGATGTAAAACTCAAATATTATAAGATGATTTATGTGTTGTAAAAACATTTTTTTGGTAATTAATTACAAGGTGCAAAGAGGAAAAAAGAAAATTCAAAGGCTGATTTCTCAAAATCTATAGAAATTATTAATTCCATTGCTTCAAATCTTCTATAACCCGGTACAATATATATAGTTTTCTGATAGGTGCACACTTTGACTCAAAGTTTGAGGAACAAAATGAGAAAGATTTTGTGCAACATAACTATGAGATAAGGAGTTATGACCCTTGCTATTGATATATATTTAAAAAATACAAAACTGCCGCGAGTCATTTTAAAAACGTCAAAAAGGCGACATGTGTACTTTTGTCCCAGATATAGTCTAGATCAATCATATGGGCATGATAAAGGTGTCTTGAAAAACATTTTGTTAGTTAAAGCTAATTTAAAGAAGACACAGCCGAGATGATAATAGATCTATCTATCCTCTATAGTGTGCTCAAATTTGAACGTTCTGTGTCAAGTAGTTGTTTAGACCCGATCAAAAATGAGCGACTACCCCTCTATCCAAAGCGGCTTCACACGGAGACCGGCTATTTTCCCCTCACTCTCGCGGCAAATGTATGTGACCTATAAATCCCCGCATGACTATTCCGGGCCCGTTCATTGGTCATTCGAAATTTCGCGCGAATCCGGTTGTTTTTCTCCCTGTAACATCGCAATGGGGGTATTCCGAGGCGAGGTTATCTCGTCTCAACGGGGAAAAATAATTTTTAATTGTATGGCATGCAAGATTTAATTAACTTATCTTTTACGGTTGGCATGGTCTAAAGTCATCATAAATAGCTTTGCAATTATTTAGATCTAGATCTAGATTTAGTAAAAAGGGAGTATGTGTAACATACATACAGACCCGGTAACCGGGAACAAAGTCACGAAGTATACAGACCCGGTAGGGGAAATCTTTTGTGATTTCGGAAAGTTTCAGCGCCCTCTTTGCTCAGGGTATACCTAGAATCTAGGTTCTTCTAGATCTAGATAGACAGACAATATGATATATCATTGATCTAGTTTCGAGACCTAGATCTAGATCTAAATGAAGATTGCGGATGTCTTTTCGATGAACGATCGTTTTACCTCCGTTTTGGAGTTGGAGGAATCACAATTGAAGAAAAGTACAATGCCATAATTTCTATCGAGCAGTCACCCCTCTCTATTTCTCTGTCTCTCTCCCCTCTTTTCTGCCTGCTGCTCTCTCTCACACACACATGCCGTTAAACGTAGAAAAGACGCATCTTTCTGATTGGCTGCTAATTTTAGTAATGTGATGTCATCACTTCCTGGGATACCCACATGGAACGACGTGTTTTCGGTAACATTTCGGATTTCCTCGATCTAGATCTAGATCTAGATTAGATCTAGATATCTAGAGACTAGATTCTAGATCTAATAGGCCTACTTGGACATGATGGAAGACCGCACGAAAATTGCCAAAAAAGACACAGGAGGACTAGATCTAGATCATCTAAATTTAGATTTACCACCTCCCCCCCCCTCCTGCATTTTTAATCACTAATACATTTTTAAAAAACAAAAAAACTTCAAAGCAACTCTAGATCTACAAATTAGGCCTATAATTTATGGAACTGTTGGTCAGTCGGGAGGAGGAAAAGAGAAAAAAACAAACAGTCCGGGACCGGAATCGAACCGCTCCAAAAGTCATTGCACGACATCAAACGCAGACGCGCTATCAAATCATCAGAACTTCCGAGAGAAAGGTATGTAGATTAGGAAGAGGCTAGCCGTATTTAAGTACGGCTAGACTGGTTGTCTAGCCGTACTAATTCTATTTATATGATGGCTAGACTGACTATTTTAAAAAATAGGCCTACTGAATTGTATAAATTTTTAGTTAGCAGTACCTAAAGTATTTGTATTTGAGACGAAACCAGGTGCCTTAATGCCTTAATGACAGTGCATGTATTTTAAACCTCGTGTTTTCTAATGTTCATAGAGGGCCTAAGATAAGTACGGCTAGACTGGCAGTCTAGCCGTACTTAGGCCCCCGCGGCCACTGCGCTTTTTCGTCACTTGCAGGCCAAGCTCACATGCAAATGAGCTTGTTTTTGTCAGTCACTGACTGCCTTTGCCTGACTACGCAATTTTCCTGCATGCACGCTTTTTCGTCAGTCGTACAGGGGACTACGAAAGCCTCGATTCGACTCATTTTGGAAGGTAATTTGCATCTCTTTAAGTACATTTTTGCTTCTTCATTGTACTTTACATGATCAATAGAGTTGTATCTCATTATAATATGATGTTGTACAATAGCAGATTTGTGCTGAAAAACACCCAAAAAATTTACAAAGCACTTGACCTAGATCTAGATCATTATTTCGTTCTCGGGAGAGCTAAAAATAGGCCAGGTTAGACCTAGCTAGGGACGTGACCTAGATCTAGGTTCTCTAGTGTTTAGTACTTCCAATTTTCCGCCAATTTTTAGTTTTCCTCTCCAGACATTATCTCTGCCGATCTACTAGATCTAAGCCTAGATTCTAGATCTACATCTCGATATTATATTGTGTCGCTTTGCCTTTCCTGAAACAGTGCTGTATATGAAGCTTAATTTACCCTTCGCTGATGAAAGTTCTGATGGCCGAGTGAACAACGTCTCTGCGTTTGAAGGCAAACATTATTTTGTGAGCGTGTGTTCGAATCCCAGCCCCAGCTTTTTTTTTTTTTCTTCTCATCATCCCAACTTACAAACAATTTTTCCCATAATTATAATTTGTTGCTATTTAGTTTTTTAAAGAGGTAAATACATAAATAAATCGCCTGTGCTGTCTGTTGTTCTCGTAATCATAACACACTGGGCTAAAAATAGGTTTAGCTGGTCTGACGTCGGTTGTCGCGGATCTTTTTGAGTCGCTTCTACACCACGCAAAAACTTCGTACATTAGCTTGGCCTGGAGGTGATCTTATTTTGGTGGACGCGTAGGCTTAAAAAGAAGTACGGGTAGACAGTCAGGCTAGCCGTACTTAAGGACGGCTAGACTGTCAGGCTAGCCGTACTTTAATATTGATGGCTGAATTGTAAATGAAATTTTTAGTTTGCAATGCCTAAAGTATTTGTATTTCAGACAAAACCAAAAGGTGCCTTACTGACTTGCATCATGTATTTGAACCTGAATAATTACTAGATCTAGATATAGATCTAGATTCTAGATCTAGATATCTAATGAGACCTGTGTACTTAACAGGCTTGAGTCGATAGGGCCAAACCTAGATCTAAGTACGGCTAGACTGGCAGTCTAGCCGTACTTAAGTACGGTTAGACTCTCACAGTCTAGCCGTACTTTTTTTTAGACACTTCAAGTTCAAGTACGGCTAGCCACTTCGTGTAGATTAAATTAAGCATCATATAGAATACGGCAGTGTCAATTGCCACCGAGTGACGCGGTGGCAATTGACAAAAATTGACTTTTAAATTTGTCAATTGCCACCGAGTAAATTGGAGCTCTTTTGCGTTGGTGAGTAGATCTAGCTTATTATTGTGCTCGAGTGCTCAGTGTTGTGCGTTCGCCTCTCTGTCCCTCTGTGTGTGTGTGTGTGTGTGTGTGTGTGTGTGTGTGTGTGTGTTTTCCTGACCCCCGTCCCCCGATTTATGTTCCCAGATATAACATGAATTTCTATTTGAGTTTGTGTGCGTGTGCGTGTGCGACCTTCTACTTCTAGAATTGCCTGTGCCGGTTCTACACCAAAGTGTAGGCTAAGGGCTAAGGCTAGCCTAGATCTAGGCATACGTCTCATTGAAAACACGCCAAGTTGGTACCGTAGTTCTAGACTAGATCTAGATCTAGATTTTGGATGCTTTCCAATTCCAATGAAATTAAAATTAGTTAGTTCAGAACAAATTGACCCATTAGACACACATTATGTATAATGCTAAAGATAGTGTTGTTTTCAGACTTGACACCGCTTCACTCTGTGGCAATTGACAAAAAGTCATTTTTTGTCAATTGCCACCGCGTCACTCGGTGGCAATTGACGCTACCATAGAATACAGACGCTTCCATCTTTGGTGCCATGCGGTTGTCTATACTTAGATTAGTCACGTGATCGGAGGGGTATCCTGGTCTGACGTCAAACAAGATGGGCGCCTTACCTAAAAATAGTTTGCGTCTTTCTACTTTTAATCGCATGTCTCACACACACACACTCACACACACTTGACTTTGACACACACACACACTACCGGGTCTGGGCGCTGAAACTTTCCGAAATCACAAAAGATTTCCCCTACCCCCCTACCGGGTTTGTATACTTCGAGACTTTGTTCCCGGTTACCGGGTCTGTATACACTTCCTTAGTAAAAATAAAGTCAAAGTGAAAGTCAACTGAAGTTCAAGTCAGGCAGGAGTTCCAGCTAAATTTACTGACGCAAGTCACAAAAGAAGACAACTTTGTTCAAGACTAAACTGCTCCCCCCAAAAAACGCTTAAAACTGTACCTGGATTTTTAGGATACAGTCATAGCAACAAGAGATTTATTTATAAGACAATATCACATAGCACTAACCAATTCGTCTTATTCTGCCGACTTTGGCAACTTGTTGTGCTGCCTTAGCGCCGTTGGCGGCCATGATGCAGGTGTGGTAGATCTTTCGTTTCTCTTCGTTCAAATGATCGCTATTCTGCTCGCTCGTCAATCAGCTGTTTTGCCAGATATAAGAGATTATCATTGCCAGTTGCCAGTTTGCCTACGCACACTAGGTCACCCACCCACCACGCATTTTAGCCTAGCCTGCTGACGAGATTGAGATCTAGGCTACCAACATCCAAGGGAGCCACCTCACCAAAGAACTCCACTCCCTGCCCACAAAAGGATGAAAATAAACGCGAAAGGGAACTACATAAACTACATTCAAAGAGAATTAGGACAAAGACCGTTGAAGCAAGATAAAATTATGTTGCTATCTGACCCCTCCACTCCCCGCCCACACCCCTTACTTTCTATACATGTAATATTACGGCAGGTTGACGTGGTACATGCAAAAAAGATTCTCTTCTAACTTTCTTCTACATGTATCTACACGATCTTTGGTACATGTAGGCTAAATGATGATCATGTTAGCCATGTGACCAAAGTGAACATGCCGTTCCATGTTTATCGGCATTAGCCTATGCCGAGGTCTCGGCTCAGGCACGACCTACCTGTCCTCCAGTGAATAGGCCTACCAATTTAATAAAGTAAAAAGTAATCTAATTTTGTAAGCAATGAAAGTAAAAGCATCGTAGTTACCCTTCCGCTCTGGTCTCGCCTTCTCTATATACACATCGTCAGTCTATAAAGAGATAGAGTAGATTCGATCGTTTAATTTGCGTCCCGTTTTTTTAACTTTGTCCAAGCATTAAAAAATGACATCCACATAGATCTAATTATAATTATTATATTATAGCCTTATAAAGTTTAAGAGTTTAGGGCCATGTTAATTTTTTAAAAATACTAATGGATTAATAAACATCTTTAATTGCCCATTCATGAACGGGGAACACTTAGAGTGGTTTGTTGGTCTAACACTGTTACCCCCCCCCCCCATTTTTTTTTATTGGCACGATGAATCCCCACCTGCACATGTCGCTCATGATGTTTACCCCCCCCCCCCCCTTCCACAAACACCCTAAACAAGAATAAAGAATAATATAAAAATAACTTTTACTTTTAATCTCCTTGGGATGAAAGCAGATAACAGATCGTGATTGGAGATCAAGAAAGAGGTGAAAGTAGAACATTTTAGAGAAGGTTTTAAACTAACACTCCCAAACCCTAAAGCACTTCTTAAAAAAAGAAAATCTGCCGGGGGAGGGGGGGGGGGGCACCACAAACAAATTACAGAATACAACTAACAACAAAACACCATGTCTTAATACACCCTATGACAGCCCCAAGTATAAACACACAGAGGAAATGTTTAGTGCATGTATATGAGCCATTATTGCCAAAACGTCACCCAACTGAGGGGTAGGCTTTTTAGAACCCCAAAAACATTATTATTAACTGCTAGATCTAAATCTACTTGTTTTTCTTGTAGATTGCAGTAGACTGGTACTGGTAGACCGTCAAGTGGAACGGTTCAGACTGATTCGGTGGGTTTTTTGTTTTGTTTTGGTAAGTGTTTACGGCGCTCGCAACTGCATAAGGTCATATGAGCGTGCGGGAAACATTAAACATTTTCAGTTGGTAGGACATTTTGAATTTTGCCCGTGTGGCGGCCGAAGCCAACTCTTATCGATTTTAGGCCACCAAGGGATCTTTAATGTGCGCAACTTGCACACAGGCCTTCCGAGATTTTTCGCCCTTGTCCGAGAAGGCTCAATGTAGATCTTTCCTACTAGAAAAGAAGATCAGGGGTGTGGCTGAAAGATAGTAGTAAGAAGGAGCCAAGGAGTAGCAGTAGCAGGCTGCAGAAAGAGTCAGGAGCCCAGAGGACGGCGCAGGGGTGAGGGGGGGATGGGGCAGAGAGTGGATACGAAAGCAGACGATAGAACGTTGCAAGAGAGTAGGAGAGGAGGTGAAAGGAGAAGAACATTTTTCAGTCGCTACCCGGATTCGAAACCGGGACGTTTGAATGAGAGGCGAACACCTTAACCTCTAAGCCACGAGAGCCCCCGATCAGGTGGTTTACTTTAGTTTAAGTAAGCGTTTTACGGCACTTGCAACAAAATATATAGGTCATTCATACAAGTGCTGAAGATAAGAGGTGTTACAAGAGAGTAACAAATGAAAACATGAAGGAGGGGAGATAAAGATGATAGATGTTGGATAGGATAGAAGGAGCAAATAACACCAGAGCACCCGCCAACCACCCACGATCCGGTGGTACACCCTCAAGTAGGACCTGAACAGAAACATCGCGGTAGAACACCGAGAATAGTCAGTGGTGCAGTGCAACACCAGTTGGCTTCACAGAGTGGTCCAGACTCTAAAAAAATAAATAAACAAGAGCAACAGCAAAAAAGGGAGGTTACTTGTGAGCACCTAAATCTGTCCCCGCGGTTTTATGCAAAAAAAATTTCTGAAATTATGCAAATTGAGCCCAAAAATGTGAAATTATGCGATTCTGTTAATTTTAACAAAGAATGATAAAGGAAAATGATAAGAAATTATGCAAAAAATGATCGAATCTTGTTAAATTATGCAGGGTGCATAAAACCACGGGGATAGCTAAACAGACCCATGGTGGTTTTTTTTTGTTTTTTTGGTAAGTATTTTACAGCGCTCGCAACTGCATAAGGTCATATGAGCGTGCGGGATACATTAACCTTTTTTACTTGGGTGGCGGCCGAAGCCTACTCTTAATGGTTTTAGGCCACCAAGGGATCTTTAACATGCGCAATTTGCACACAGGCCCTCCTAGATTTGTCCGAGAAGGCTAGGTGTAGATCTTTCCTACCAGAAGATCAGGGGTGGGGCTGAAAGACAGCAGTAAGAAGGAGCCAAGGAGTAGCAGTAGAAAGGCTGCAGAATGAGTCAGGAGCCAGAGGAGGGGGCAAAGGAGGTGAGGGGGTGGGGGCAGAAAGAGGAGACGAAAGCAGACGACAGAATATTGCTAGAGAGCAGGAAAGAAGGTGAAAGAAGACAGTTTTAGAGACGAAAATTTTTCGGTTGCTACTTGGATTCGAACCCGGGACCTTTGAATGAGAGGCCAACACCTTAACCTCTGGGCCATGAGAGCCCCCACCCATGGTGTGTGTGTGTGTGTGTGTGTGTGTGTGTGTGTGTGTGTGTGAGAGAGTGTGTGTGTGTGTGTGTGAGAGAGAGAGAGAGAGAGAGAGAGAGAGAGAGAGAGAGAGAGAGAGAGAGAGAGAGAGAGAGAGAGAGAGACAGACAGACAGACAGACAGACAGACAGACATACAGACATACAGACACACAGAGGAAGGGGGCGGGGCAAGAGAAAAAGGAGGAATGTTTCGGAATGTTTCAAAAGAAATAAATTGGTGAGGTATAATTTATGGCCTTCTTTTCAACAAGACACAGGGTAATTTAGAAGGTCCACAATAGGGAAGTAACATTAAGAGAAAATGAGAAGAATCACGAAAAAGAAGAACAGATCAGTAAGAAACTGGACAATGAGAGATAACAGTCAGGCGATACGCAAAATAGCTACAAAGACCACCCCCCCCCAACAAAAAAAAGAAAAAAAAGAAAAAAGAAAAAAAAGAGAAACTGTAACAAAAATTGTTTTATTACAAAAAAAGTAAGATTTTACTGCTGCCAAAACAATACAAGTACATATACTTCAGGCCAGACACGATACAGCTAGATCTATAGGTCCATATATATCCAACAGAAGTATGGACACAACCAAAGTTATTTTTATTTAATTCATGTAGGCCCTACACTCGTACATCTCATTCTTACAATCAACAAGAAAAATAAATTCTAGCACACACATTGTGAAATCAGCGGGATGCAGAAATCTTTTCCTTATTTACAAATTTTGCAACGTATAGGTTTTAAATACAAAGAATATAATTATAATGTAGTAGAAAATATTTGGGACCTGATAGTTTGTTCCCTGTGTGGGCATGTTTCTTATATGTGTGCTAGACTGTAAACATCCAAGTTTTTAGAGGTTTCAATCAAATCATTTAGTATCCCTTATGGCACATGAAATTGGAAACTTGTTTGTTCGAGTGGGAAAGAAAATTTACAATAAATGAATGAAAAATAGCCTAGGACTAACTACTATGGGCTACAAACACTATAGGCCATTGTGACGGAACAAAGCCTTATGATCACACTAAAATTCTTTTGAATTTGTCAAATGGCTTTAACTTTAATGCACATAGGGCAGAAAAGGAACTGAAAAAAAAAATAAACCATGATAAAACCCACTTGTTAAGCTGTGGTCAAGGTCGAGTTATGTAAGAGATAAACTGACAAAGTAGTTCACACCAGACACTGATAACACAAACCAGGCCAAGGCCTGAAAGGAAGACAGTGTTGAACAGAGTGCAGCGCAAGACGGATCATGATAAAAAAATACATTATGTAATGTCAAATACAGAAACGAACTAAGTCAATAGAGAAAGAAGTAGAAGGTGCAGGGCACAAAAGGGTGCACACCTGCCGTCTGCCGCATACTATATTCACAGATCAAAAGCAAGTGGTCCATTTTCAGATGGCTTTATACATCAGTTGGGTGGCCGTAGGGTATGTTCATTTATCAGGCTCTAATAGCCACAATCATCTGTGCAAATGACCACTACCCATTTTCTTCCCCTGTGTTTTTTAAAACATTTATAATGACATTGTTTTCAAGACCTTCACTTGTCTAAGACAACCATTCTTCTCATTCGACAATGGGTGGCTGTCTTGGACAATTTTGACTGTACAACATTGACATCATAAGCTCTATTACAATGAAGCATGCTACAACAAAATTTAATTCTAAAACAACCAGTAAACCCGACATTTTCTGAGAGGGACATCTCTCTTTTCCTTTGAATGTAGTGTACCTTGAACTTGTAGCAGAAAGGAATATGACGTAACGTGGTGGAATCAGGCGCTCGTCAATTTTTGGGCATATGTAGTTATTGTTATAATCTTAAAGCCTATTCATGTGCCTTACTTTTGATGAAAAATATACACATGGATTTTAAATAGAAGTTCAGATTTTAGCGACTAAAAGAGGTGAGGGTCGCTTGGTGTCAGAGGTAAATTAACAAGAAAATGGCCACCAAAGTTTCGTGACTTCTGAAGCTGTTATGTCCTTGGAAATTATAAATTTACATTTTTTGTGCCTGGTAAATGTTTTTCAATAAAATCCATTCATAAATGTGTTTTTAAGTGGACACAAAAGCTATTGAGCCCAAAACAACAGAATTAAATAAAAATTGCTCCGAGGGCAGAACAATTACATTTTTGACGAGCGCCTGATTTCCCAGTGATGCTTCATAAATCATATTTCAAGAAACTGTTAGCACTTTGAAGAAAAAACATCAAAAACAGTACTGTCCAACTTCAATTGAACAACTACACGCCATGTGTCTCATCTGTCATTTTGGGTTATGGAAACAAAATGGTAAATTTGGTCAGTCTACATCGAAACAGATGCTCTGATACAGAATGTTGCTAGCAGTAGTTCATAATGTGTCACAATCTTTTGTTTGATACAGATGCATTATTTTGTGAAAATGACTGTGAGACAGGTGAGAGAGACCTATTGAGCAATATAACTTATTTATATATATATCATGTCATCAATATAGTCCAGATCTGAGACCAGTCTTGACAACCAATAGAAAGGGAGAGCTCCAACTTCTGTGGTTAGGCACTTTGATTTATATGTAAAAGATGTTGGCTTGATTCCTGCATGGGGAAAGATATCTTACTGATCTTCTTCTTTCTGCTGAGATATTGTGTAGTCCAGGTATTCCCTGACAGTGACGGTTAAAGCAGCCCCAACCTCATATTGATGTAGCCTACGTTGCATCAATAGGAATGTAGAACATTTTACAATCATCCCGTTTTCCAAAAAACCCCCAAAAGAACCCCCCCCCCCACAAAAATTGAAGTCAGGATATCCGTTATTATATTGCTCTAAACAACTATCAGTGCCAGGACAGAGTGCTTCACCAGGAACAACACAATAGAACGATGATTGCTACTACACTGTGACTTCATGGCTCATAGATCCTTTCTGTACAAATACAGCCTTCCTCCATGCAGGCCCGCATCCATTTTTCCGTCACGATGTGGAACTTTTTTGCTCTGACACGTCTCACCTCCTTCAGCTGGTCTATTCTAGAGAGGTCACTGGGAAAAAAGTAGAAATCAAGTTCACATACAATAACCATGCTAAGATCAACAGACACAACATTGCAGTCTAATTCTAATGTTACGTAAGCTGTTCCAAATATGATCGTACAATAAAACTGCAGTATCACTATAACTCATGCACGAGTGCTTTAAGACAGCATATTTTTGCCACCATTGTATAGTGGGGCAAGTGTGCATCTCATATTCTTAACAATTTTTTTAAAATTAAGAGTTTTACGGCACTTGCAACACAATAAGGTCATACATATAAGTGCTGAAGATTAGAAGTGTTACAAAAGAGTAACAAACATAAAAAAAGAAGGAGAAATAAAGACGATAGTTATTTGATAGGAAAGAAGGAGCAAACCACACCAGAGCACCCGCCAACTACGCACTATCTCATATTCATTTAGCTGCCCTATCTATAGATCTATATCTATATAAAGCAAATGGTCTAAATAATTTGTCTCTGGTAAACTCAACTCAAAGCATACGTTCATGTGTAGTAATTTCAAATGTTTCTTGTACGATCAAACGATATCTTGTAGGGCCTCTTAACCCATCATGAGGGCATCGCAACTGTAGTCGTGATGCCGTTGATGTCTCTCAGAGCTGATATCAGTCCGAATCATGAACATGGGCACTTTAGACCTGGTATGTGTACAGAACCACTGGAAATGGTTTATACTAAGTTAAACTCTTTTCAAGGAAGATTTTCTTAGCATTTCCTGCCCCAAACAAGAATCTAAACCCAGAATTAGAATAGAAAACAAACAGTCCAGGAATTTGTTTACATCAGTCACTAAGGCAGTAATTGAATCTGAAATGGCTGCAAATATGACTGTTTGCAACCAGTTCAATTTTTAAAAGTTTTAGTAAGGTTTTAATGGCGCTCGCAACTGCATAAGGTCATATGAGAGCCAAGGGGTGGATGTCAACAGAGAAGTCCTTACAGCGAATCAGACTTACTCTGTTCACCTCTCTAGCTTCAAAAGTCTTCTTCTACTATCAAGGCACCCCGGAAATAGTGGGTCACAAGAGACTGACAAACTTGAAACATACAAAAGAAGTAGAGGAAAAATGACGATAGTGAGGATTAGGAAAGAAAAAGCAGCAGTTCCAAGCATGCAGTTAAGGAACAGTTATGAGCATGACATTGATGAATCAGCCCATCTACAATTGGCCGGTGCTACTCGCCCAATGTCGGGTGGCTAGTGCCAGGCTAGTTGACCGAAATCGGTCGAGTAGCCTGACACTACTGGCCCGTGGGGATTTCTGCGACCTCGGGTGGCTAGCATTTTCTGCCCACCCGAAGCCGGTCACCTAGATCTAGTCTTAGTCTTATACGGGGTGCCCACTACGGCTGGATCGGGCCGATCGCCCAACTCGATCGCCTGTAACTGAAAACAAACAAGTTTGTTTTTGAGGCGACCAAGTCGGGCGATCCCATCCGTAGTGGGCACCCCGTATTAGGTAGCGTAAACACGGCCTCGCGGCCTTCCGAGCGACATAAAGCTATTGAGAGCACCTCGCACACCTCTGTGACTGGCCCAAAATAGATCATAGGTGATGTTTTTCCACTATCTGTTTTTGTCGTCTTCCGAGGTTTTCCGAGGCCCGTGATATGACTCAATATGAGTATAAACAAACGTTCCAGCGCTGAGTTGAAAGCGATAAATTTTGTCTTCGGACAGAGAGAGAAAGAGAGAGGAGAAAGAGAGAGAGTGAGAACGAGAGAGAGAGAGAGAGAGAGAGAGAGAGAGAGAGAGAGAGAGAGAGAGAGAGAGAGAGAGAGAGAGAGAGGGACAGGAGAAAGAGAGAGAGAGAGGGACAGGAGAAAGAGAGAGAGTGAGAACGAGAAAGAGAGAGAGAGAGAGAGAGAGAGAGAGAGAGAGAGAGAGAGAGAGAGAGAGAGAGAGAGAGAGAGAGAGAGAGAGAGAGAGAGAGAGAGAGAAAGGGAGGGGGATGTTATTAGAATTATTGATTCTTGTCGTTGACTCTCAGTGTCGGTTTGCAAGCTGACCCGATGCAATACAGTCATTATTGTACACATTCTGGCCAGTCCCATCTTCACACATGACATGTATTATAATGTCAATTTGGTCAGATAATTGCAGTCAGAGTCAAACTTTTACGCTAGAACTGATCCGACTCTTGACTTGGAGGACAAGGAGTGACCGAGTGAGTGACTGAATCTTGCGCGATTGATAACACCAATTCTAAAGGAGCAAGCGCAGAAATCCCTAGGGCCAGAACACGGAACATGAGCAGAAATCCCAAAGGGCCAGAAGCCACAGGCCAGGCCGGGCTAATCGAACGAATTCGTTCTCCCGGAACATGTGCAAAAATTCTGGATCGGGCGAGTAGCCTTACGCTAGCAACCCGACATCGGGCGAGTAGCCACTCCGCTTACAAGTCAATTCTACCGAGCATAAGAACATATTAATGTCCTTTGGGGGTGGCCTAAAGACACTTCAGTCAGTAGCACCGCCCCAGGGGGTTACCTATTCAATGCATTTTACTGGGATAGTAGTGATTCAAGAGGAAACAGACTGCATTTTAATGCAAATAGTGATGAGGCATGGCCCTCTGTGTCCCTGGCTGCTTTGAACTGTATCACTCACACAGTAGGACTAGGAGAAATTTGATACCACAAAATCAGGACTAACACAGAGGCAAAGAAACTCTGACAAACAAACAAATTAAATCTATGCCAAGGTATTGTTTTGAAAATCTTTACCTCAGGTTTTTTTCTTCACTCAATTTCCAGTTTAATGATGCTTAGTTCATATTTTTATCTTGAAAAAGTAAGGAAGTTATAAGCATTTTTCATGATCCACTCTAATTTTCATGAAGTTCTCAAATTAATTTGCGTCTGGGGGACCGGACAGTGCAAATTATTTCACCCCTTGAAGGTTCAAAATATCAGGAGTAATCGAATTCTAGCACCTATACTCTTCTCCTGTCCTAAGTACACTAGAGTACTGCATTGGACTAAAACATGATGAGTAGAATAGCAAGATAAAAAGTGTACCTTTCACTGACTAACACATGAGAAACATTTGGGTTCAATTCCTCACAAACTTCAGCACCAAAGAACCGCAGTTCCAATCGTATCAAGTCTAAGGGACAGTTTGGGATATGAGTGCTTGGGTCACCAAAGACAAGGTTGCTGTCCAGGTAGATTCTGAAAACAGACAATAATAGATATTTATTTTAAGCATTTTATCCAAAACATGTAAGTAGGCTACTGAGTGTATCATTTGCTATCAAATGAAAACAGCAAGACACCACTCGTAACACATTTTCATTCATTTGACTCTCACACATAACCCAACAGGCTACTCTGTCACACTACTGTAGAAATGAAAACTTGACATTTACTAAAAGTGAAACAATAAAACAGAAACAAACAAGATTAATTTGTAATATTGCTGAAAAAACCTGCTCAACTGACAAAAAAATATGGACAACAGCTCTACAAGCTAAAGAAGTGAAAACAAACACATAGACCAGGTTAGAAGACTTAAACGCTCTATTTTATCACTAACCTGCATGTTCTGAACAGACCGAAAGGAGAATCATCAGGAAAGTATTCGTCTTCCAGTTCTGCAATCTCTGAGTGATCAATGTTCTCAAAGTTTTTCTGAAAAGACAGAGAAATTCAAGTACGACTCAATGTCTACTAAAGTGTAAACACAATAAGGATGTTCAGCCGTCTCATTTTAAATGCAAAAGTAAGAAGCTTTTCAGCACGATCCTTCCCAATTTCCATTATAACTGCAATGCAGTTGAGCATTGTTATATGTCACTGGGACCATGTCAACATTTACGAGATACAGTGTACTGGTGGTTATGCAGTTTACATGGTAACCAAAACTTTCTGTGACAAAGACACAGATTTCCTGCAACACATGTTCTCCCAAAACTCTTATTCAGTTGCTCCACCACTGACCATTTCAAGAGTTGGCTACATCTTCTCACTGAAGTCCAATATATGGCATTTCATCTACGGTGGAGTCCACTTAAACGAGTCCGGAAAAAACAAGAAGTCTGTTATAAAGGCGCTATTCTAAAACCCCGTTTTTTTTCTCCTCTTTACCTTTGTAAACAAAATACTGCTATAGCGCTATCAAACACACTTGCGAGTCGGTTACAACGGAATATTGCTGCTGCTGTGCACATGGCATAGGCCAATTATACATACATAATGCAAGACCTCGCCAGTTGAGAAACTTGTTGCTGATCTTGAGAAACAACAAAGAATAGGAGAGCCCATGTGCGTCAACAATGAAGGCTGGAGCAACTGAGTAGGGAGGGTGTGGCATGCGCAGACAAGCAGAACGCATCGCGTGATAGGCCAGTTTAGATTATCAAGGCCTGCCATGCCTCTCACTTCTCCGATGCGGGGATGGAGAGGTCACAGCAATGTGATGGATGGAGCGAATGTGTGACGTGTGCAAGCAGACAGAATGCACCGCAGGGTGGGGTTGGGTGGGGGGAAAACACAGCGGGCCAGTTAGTCCAGAGACCTTTCTTTCTAATTGCCTACGCCGAGCTGTCAGTCCACATCGCTAGATCTAGTGCTAGAGAAACAAAACTGATTCGATTTTTGATCAAGTAAGACCTAGAGGTCATGTTGAAACAAAATCATCATCAGGGGAGATGGCAAAAGGAAATAAACAGAACCCCAAACTCATAGATTAGGCCTACTTTACAGTTTCCCTTGAATTTATTACTGGATCCCTTATAGCGAGAATCCTGCTATAACGGACATTTTGTTTCGGTCCCCTTCCTCTCGTTATAACAGGATTCCACTGTACTTCAAAAGAAGACCCACTCACTTTGAAAAAGTGGTCTAGCTATTTGTATTTCATTCAGCGGTTCACTGGTTGTGTTTTTAAGAGTAGTATAGAGAGTAAAAATTGTGGCAGATAAATTCCAGAAAAGTGTTTTTGAGTTACAAGAGCTCAAGTTTGGTGAGCTTTACAGTACAAGTACGGTGCTGGTAGTGGTTGTGGTAGTGGTGGAGGTGGCTGAAATAGTGATTGCAGTACAAGAGGTGGTATGTGCTACGGGAGCTAAGATAGTAGTCTTGGTAGAGGTGATGACAGTGGCTGTGGAAGAGGTAGAAGTAGTGGCTGCAGCAGTGGTGCTGAAAGTGGTGGCTGTGCTGGTGATTTTAGTAAAGTCAGCACACTGCAGTTTGTGTCCCTGACTCACCATTCGTTGGAACACTTCCCTCAGCTCCTCCTCTGAGGTGACTCGTGTGTAGCTGTCTCCATGCTGGTCATAGTCTTGCTCAAAAGCTTTCTCTGTGGCTGCTGTCGTGTGAATCATGTCCCCCGGGGACCTGCGCGAGAACATGAATGGTGAGAGAAATTTCAGAGTTCAGTCAAAACTGCTCCAATGACCACCTGTCTAAAAGACTTCTTCCCACTTCCACCTGCATTCTTTTTTATATCATAATGACACTGTATAAGAGGATCACCTATCTAAGATGACCACTTTTTGACAATGGGTGGTTGTCTTTGACAAGAGTAACTGTAGTTCAGCTGTGCAGTGTGAAATATGTTGTTTTAAAACAAAAGTAATTACTTTTACACCCATCCAAATATGATGTGGGGCTTAAACTCTACCACTACTTTTCTGACACAGTGTGTTTTCTTCACCACACCTAGAGAAGGAAATAAATGACAATTGTGAGGCATCATGGTGAAATCAGGCGCTCGTCAAAATAATGAAATCAAAGAAATCAGCATTTTTTGGGGGCAGAAGGGAAATTTTAAAAAAATATTCTTTTTTTGGCCCAACACTTTTTATGTCCATTTAAAAACACATTTTTGTGTGGATTTTACCGAAAAACATTGATCAAAGGCACAAAAAATGTAAATTGTCAGTTCCAAGGACTCTCAGGCTATGGAAGTTATCAAACTTTGGCGGCCATTTTCTCGCTACTTTTTTTTACCCCTCAAACCAAGCAACCCTGACATCCTTCAATCACATATATTTTGACTTCTTTTCACCATAAAAAGATTTTTTTTTACCGAAAGGAAGGCAAAAGAACAGGCTTTAAGATGATACTAATAATTCCGTACCCAAAAATTGACGAGCGCCTGATTCCACCATGTCCTGACACAATAATTATCCTTTTCAGAGGAGAGAACCAGGTCTGCATGGCAATCAGGCACTGCTGAAAATTAATTCTTAGGCAACCAGTGCATCATAGCTGTCAACCTGAAAATCTGAAGAGTCCTGGTTTGATCCATGAAGATATGAGCAGGAACTTTTTAAAAGAAAGATTTAATCACCCTTAATGACTGATGGGCATTTAATACAAAATTCGATCAGTATAGTCATAGTGGAAAAAGGGGCTTATAACAATCGAAATGGAGTCCAGGAGCACATTATCCCATACAAATAGAACCAAATGCTACTGTTTGGGTTAATGAAACAATTTTGATAAAACCTTTGCCCTGAATTGTTATTTTGTGCACTGCGATACATCTTCTTTCCCGGCACCCAGTGTAAGAAATGGAAAGTCAATTCTACTTTCTTACCATGGAATCCATTTGGTTGACTCGAGGACCCGAATGAGCCAGTCTGCCCTGACCACATCATACTTGTTCTTTTTGATCAAGTTAGTAACTCGGACTGCCACTTTCTCCACGATGACGCACAGAGTAGAGGCATCTGGAATGTTATGATAATTGTACCTTTCTTCCTTCATCAACCAAAAAAACGTCACACAGATGGTGTGAAGTTGTCAGGTGAGCAGTAAAGAAAAAATCATAATCCTAAATATGAAACGTTTTATGCTAAAGTGTACTGGTGAACACAAAAGGCTGAAGTTTCAATAACTGAACCACTGAACAACAGTTGTGCTGCTAGTATGGAAAAAACTGTTCCAAAGTTCAATAATGCAAGGGACTTTCAATAACTGAACCAATAGTAACAACAGTTGTGTTGCTAGAATGAAAAAAAAACATTCCAAAGTTCAATATTGCAAGGGACACTATAATGGGAGTCAGATGTTGAAAAAAATATATCGCAAACTTTACGACCACCAGAGTCAGTCAATTAATTTAATTCTAATGAATAAAGACCAAATTGAGTGAAAATGAATGTTTAGTTTTAGTTTTATAGAGGTTTTACGGCACTCGCAACTGCACAAGGTCATATAGGCTCCAGAAGAATAGAGGTGTTACAAGAGAGTAACAAACATAAAAAAGAATAAGGGGAGATAAGGACGATAGATGTTTGTTAGGAAAGAAGAAGCAAACCACACCAGAGCCCCCGACAACCACCAACATAAAAATGAATGCTCTAGGCAATAAATATAAAATCTAATTATAGATTGTATGGATTGGCTGGAGTTTTGTAGCCTATATTCTTGTTATGACAGCTAACAACAAATCATTGCCATGTGTCAGTTCAGCTGACGCACTGGTAGATTCTATATAGGTACTTACAACATACCAGCTGATCTAGAGGGATGTGTACTTATACAAAGAGTTCAAGAGGAAGTGATACCGAACCAAAACAAGGGAAAGTACTGACCAGGATTCTGCACCACAGTTCCTCCAAACTCCACAATTTTCTTCTCCAGTTCTTGTTTTGGGAAGCTAGAGGGACCATTGATCACACAGAATTCTTTTCCCTCCAAAACTTCGGACATCTGAAATAAAAGTGCATGGACAGCTTTTAAGTTTTAGTACAATCTTCTCAGAAATAAAATGGAGCACACAAATAGTACATGAATAAACTTGATTACTTAAATGCATCTGAGTGGAACTACATCACTGTGATTCAAATACAAACCAGATCTTACCTTAGTGACCTTTGACGTGTCTGCTCCCTGAAACTGTGCCATCAGTGTAGGGCGAACAGCCCTCGTCACAACTTTTCTTCGCTTCTTCTTGGCTGGTTCCACCTCATCACCTAGCTCAAACCTTGACCCAGTCAGTTTGCCGCCAGATTTCTGTCAAGTCAGGAAAGAGAAAAAGTCAAATGTTCTAAACAATAACTAGACATTACACTATTTCTTGTAAACTGCAGATGTTTACCTTTCTTATATCTTTGGTGCTGTGTTGAGAAGCTAAAGAATTTGTGGATAACGTACACTGGGCAATAAATGTCAATATATAGTATATATTTACTGAGAGAGAGGAAGACAGACAGAGAAAGAAAGAGAGACAGACAGACAGTGAGAGACACAGAGAAAAGGAGAGAAGAGTTTCGTTTTTGTAGTGTTTTACGGCACTTGCAACACAATAAGGTCATATAAGTGCTGAAGATTAGAGGTATTACAAGAGAGTAACAAACACAAAAAAAGAAGGAGGAGAGATAAGGACGATAGATGTTTGATAGGAAAGAAGAAACAAACCACACCAGAGCACCCCCAACCACCCACAAGGAGAGAAGAAGAAGAAGAAGAAGAAGAAGAAGAAGAAGAAGAAGAAGAAGAAGAAGAAGAAGAAGAAGAAGAAGAAGAAGAAGAAGAAGAAGAAGAAGAAGAAGAAGAAGAAGAAGAAGAAGAAGAAGAAGAAGAAGAAGAAGAAGAAGAAGAAGAAGAAGAAGAAGAAGAAGAAGAAGAAGAAGAAGAAAAAGAAGAAGTATAAGAAGAAGAAGAAAGAAGAAGAGGAGGAGGAGGAGGAGGAGGAGGAGGAGGAGGAGGAGGAGGAGGAGGAGGAGGAGGAGGAGGAGGAGGAGGAGAAGAAGAAGAAGAAGAAGAAGAAGAAAAAGAAGAAGAAGAAGAAGAAGAAGAAGAAGAAGAAGAACAACAACAACAAGGAAAATAAACTATCCCAGCCTCCCCCCCCATGCACGTACCTCCCGAAAGTCCTGTATGTCTGTGGTGGTCATGCACTGGTCCCAGGGTTTGTCCTCTCGGATCATCTCCACGCGCGGGAAACGCAGGGTGCAGCCCGTCTTGAAGCGTTCACTCTCGATAATCTCCGCTGCCTTCACCTAGGGGAGACAATGATGGTTCACAGATAACACTAGTACTGTCACAGCAGACAGTGGTATTTGAACAGCATGGGTCTAGACTTCATGTCCTGTGATGATGGCGCAAGTGGCTTATTAGGCCGAAGCTCATTGTAAAATATCGATTGCATTGAGTGAGAGGAACTGATTGATGTCTCGTACTCTGTTGCATCCTCTTGTGTCTCTATTTTCCTCTTAAACTCTCATCACATAACTGCATAAAATTATGCAGTGGAGAGGTTTATGTGCTAAAAAAAAAGAAAATAGTGACTACGATTATATCTTAAGTGATCTGAATTTGAGCATGATAAATGTGTTACGACGTGGTAGAATCTGGTGCTCGTCAATTTTTGAGCGTGTGGAATTATTGGTATCATTTTAAAACTTGTTCAATTGTCTTGCTATCGGTAAAAAAAAATGCCCAATAATCTTGAATAGAAGTCAAAATATTTGAGATCGAAGAAGGTGTGAGGTTGCATGGTTTCAAAGGTAGAATTTGGGAGAGAAATGGACGCCAAAGTTTGGTTATTTCCATAACTTGATAGTCCGTGGAGATTGAAAACTTACATTTTTGTGCCTTTAATCAACGTTTTTCAGTTCTTAATTGGACAACAATGGTGTTAAGCCAAAAAACAAAAATTCGATAAAAATTACCAAATGCAGCAAAAATAATGCCAGTTTGCTCAATTTCATTATTTTGACGAGTGCTTGATTTCACAAAGCTACCTCACAAATTTTTTTTACTCAAAGAACACCCAAATAACCATCAGTCACAAAGCCATACCATCTACATCGCTTGACGTGGCTTGCAATTGTAATGTCAAGAGACTGATACCCAGCTCTTCCATGTAATAAGCTGCCTCACTATGGCAGGTACCTTAAGCTGTCTACCTCAGTTCACCCTACTGCAAATGAGCACTTGGCATTTCTTTCAACGGGAACATATGGATAAAAGTAGTCTGCAATTAACATGCTACAACACTATATTTCCCTTTGGAGACAAAGATAGAAACCACATTGAAACAAATTGGCCAACAAAGGGAGTCATTGTGTACTTGACCAATGAAGGGGGGGGGGAAGGGGGAGGGGAGTCCATAAATACCACAACAAACCTCTCCCGTCACACACAACCATTTACTATCAGCCTTTGACCAAGGTATTACACAGGCACACCATGTCACTACCACTGGGCGATAGAAGGGTGAACATTATTTTCCGAAAAAAATTACCTGCACTATACATGATTTGCTTGGAGGTATCCACGCGTCTGGCTTCTCCTTAAATCCTGAAGCCAGGTGTAAGTGTGGCGGAGGAGAGCGCTTGTCGTAAACGCTCCAGTGCGGAGCCAACTGCTCGTTGAACTCACGAAGCTGCTTCTTGCTGTAGCCAGAGCCCACCTGTGACACAAGAAGACAGTGAGAGCATTTTAAGTGATATGGGTAGAGGGTCTGACAAGAAGAGAAGGTAGGAGCGATAGAAGAGAAAAGGTAGGAGCGATAGAAGAGAAAGGGAAGGAGAAAGAGTTGAGGAAAAGGGAAAAAGAGGAGAAGTGAGATGAGAGAGGAGGCTGATGGAGGAGGTGAAACACATGACTCGACATTCCCTATGAAGAAAACAGCTGACCCTGCAGAGGAAGATGACAAATATAAGATTTCAGCAAGTCAAACCTATAGTTGTCACTTGATGGTGGTTGAAAAATGTTAATTTAGAATACATAGCCTAATACAAAATAATCATTAGAATGATATTTTTCCAACCAAAATACAGGTAATGATGTTGGTACACAATTCTCCCTTTCTTCTTCAATATGCTTAAAATGATATGGAGCCCGTCACATCACCAGCTCTGTCCCGATAAAAGGGTTTTCTGTCAGACTGAGGTCACAATGTAAGTTACCCCACACACATGTAAAGTGAATTAACTGGCCAGGAGTCCACAGCAGTACCGACATACTAGCCGATGACCGCAGACATTCTGTGACAGACAGTGTCATTATAGAAAAAGTGCTAAAGGCAAAGTCAAAAGTGGTCGTTTGTCCAGGTTATAAATGTCATGGACAGGAGGCTATTATTAGAGCCGGTTCTACTATTTTAAGCCTTTAAAAGTTAGAAATTTCAAAACCAGATATTTGTCCTTAAAAATTATACTCTTTATATCAAATGACACTGAAGTAACACTTTCAAGTTTGACACTTCATGAACTCATCAAATTAGGTTATCTAAATTAAAATGGGACTTGAATACTTTTACACTTAAACTTTTGCAACAAATACAAGGCTGAGACTGAACAGTAAAATCATACTGTAAGTAGCCTACCTTGCAAAAGGAGTGAAAAACCGTTGGCTCCTCCCCCTCTGCTGGTGGTACAGCCACAGCACACAGGAAGTGAGACATCATACCGCCACGATGACCCACTCCAAAGAAGCCACCAACAATGAGCAGATCCAGCTCATCCATCAGACCGCCGATGTACTCGGGTTTGATCTTGAACCAGCCACCTGAGACATAATATTGACTTATACAACATGAACACTTCAGTCTGCTGTGATCGAGCAGTGTCTACTACTACTAACTAGGCTACTGAAGTTAATCGGTGGCCTAGTGGTTAGGCTCTCGGACTCACAACTGTAAGGTTGTGGGTTCGAATCCTCTCAGGGACCCAACATTGTGTCCTTGGGATAGGCACTTTACACAAGTTTTCCTCACTTCACCCAGGTGGGAATGGGTACCCAGCTATAGACAGTGAAAGGGCTTGTCAGTTTGTTAGTGTTTGAGCTGCTTGCACTGTATGCTTCCAGGGAAGCTGTGAATGTTTCTGAGTGTTCTATGGTCTGCTGGGGTAATAATATAGTGTAAAGCGCATAGAGCTTGCTGTCGAGCGGGGTTATGCGCTATACAAATGCTATTTATTGTTATTAATCAAGAATCTTCACAGTCATGTCAGTTTTAGCCCCCCAGTTCCTTTGAAAACGCCTGTGAAATAAATTTGGTCACCTACTTTATTTGTTACAAGTGTCGACTGCTTTTGAATCATTGTAGTAATCTGCACAAACTGCATTTTAGATAAAATGCACATACACACTAACACAAGCATTCGTAAGACATAACAAAGAACTCTAGCAAGCAAAACTTTGTCAAAAAATCATCACAGCCTTGTAGCATGTACACCCACCTTTCCTGGTGTTGGGTCGGTACACGCTGTCTGCTAGTTTCACCATTATGCCTTCTTCCTTGTTGTCAATGGCTTCGTTCAGAGCATCTGCACACTCTTGGCTGGACAAAAAATTACAAATAAAAGCAATAAAATGACTGATTAAAAAAAAAGAAAAAAGGAAAGCAATCGAAGCATCGAGGAAAAAGAAAAAAAAAAGAAAAAGAAGAGTAATAGGATATTTGTATATCTTCCTAACAAGAGAACTGAACTCAAGTCAATTGCCTGCAAGACAAAGACCCCAATCATTCCAACACAGACAATGGACCCAAATTATTAAAGCACAGACATGCGACTCTCCACAATGAAAGAGTCAATGCATGTGCATGCTAATACAAATGGACAGAGTTTGAAGAAGTTGCTACAAGTCTTGTTAATGAACACATTTTCATTTTCTTAGAAAGCTGCATTTTTGTAGCCAATTTTCAAGTCAGACAAAGATAAAGACATCTTCTCATACACTCAGACCTGAGTCTCCCCCTTCACCCTTTCTTACAAACTTACTTGGTGTTGGCTGAGGTATAGACAGATCGGATGATGCGTCCCTTCACTGGTGTGAACACATCTTCCAGAAGAGGCAGGCGGTCTCTCAGTGGAGTGTTGGTCAACACTCTGTCGTTGAGGAGCAGTACATCAAATACCTGACGACAAACATGTCCAGAATACTTTACAGTAAACATACCACCTGTCACTTGAATACCATGATCACACCATTAAGGCTCACATATTAACAAATTACGTCTAATCAAAGTATACGCAACATCCGCAACGTCTACACAAACATCGATATCTGCAAAGTACTGCAATTCCCCCCCCCCCCCTTCCTCCCCAACAAATTGCTGAGTCTTTCACTTGTCCTTGAGCTGGTCACTCAGTTGTTTCCTTGAGCAAAAACATAACAGGAGAGGATTAAGTATGGAAGAGTGTAAAAAGGCACTTAGCAATAGTAAAAGCTGGTGAGTCATTGCAAAGCAACCTCTGAGCCAGGGATGACACCACCCAGGTATCTGCGTAACAGGACAGAATGATAAAGAGAACGGTCACCATAGGTAAGATTCAATAACCTAAGCTAAAAAGCAGGCTAATATGAAACATCAACCAGCGATCATGAGTTTGTGAATTATTCAGTAAAAGCACTAAGCTCTACAACTGTATGCATAAATAAATTTGATGCAATTTGTAAATTAATTTCTCCACTTATGCTCCTAGAATTCAAATGTCCCCGAGTCCCACTAAAGAAATATTTTTTCTTTGCTTTTTTCTTAAACAAAACAAAGTCAGGAAAACTTACCTGGACACATGGTTGGTAGCCAGTCCTCTCCACACAATCTCGAGACTTTATGTCAAACTGCTCACCTTTTGTACCTGGAAGTAGAGAGGAAACAAGACAGTAGCTTTACATTTCTTTTCTCCTTTCATCAAATCAGGTCTTAAACTGCACCTCAACATACTGGCTCAGAGAAATAAAGTAAAGCTTTCTTATCAATTTCCGATAAATAGAAACCACAGTAGCCATTTGTGAGAAAAGCTGGAAAACTTAACTAGATCATGACTGCCACATTAGGAGACCACAAGCTGCTGTATAATTATGAAAAAAGAGACCTACAAAATTTAATCATCTCCATTTTTAAATTTCATTTAGATTATTGTACCACTTGCAGGCATCATAATTCCTCCTTCACAGAAAACAACAGAATATTTATAAATTTACAACGTGATATTCAGACAAGCACAGTATAGGAAAATACCAAACGAATCTGTGGCAGCGTGATATCCCAGCATCTCTCCGTCCAGGATACATTTGTCCACCCCAGGCATGAAGCAGTTGGCGATATATGGGGTGAGGGTCCCTTCAAAGGCATTTGACCCAAAGATATGAGTGTATTCATTCCCACTGAAACAATTAGCAAATGGGTTTTTAAAAAAAAGAAGCGTCAGACTGGAATATTCCAAGCACACATATAATAAAAATCAAGTCCTTGTCACATTTGATTGACTAGAGATGTTCAGAAAACTGAGAGATAAGCAGTTGACAGATCAGCAAAACAGCATAAAGGACGGTTTGATTAGGGCTGAGTGAAGACAGTCTTCATGACTAAACATACTTTAAAAATCTTTTATTTGAGCCTTACAGTGTCTTTTGACTTTTGAAATTTCGAATGTTTCATATTTCCATTTTAAGATAGATAAAACTCCAAATCTTTAAAAAGTTTAAACTAAGTCTGCAAGTACTCAAGGATCTGTTCTACTAGAGCAGAGAGTGCTCAGAGGACAAAGTTACTAGTTTGTGGGCTGTCAAAACGTAAAGCAGTCTCAACAAAAGCATTGCCAATCAAATACATGAACAGTGACAAAAATTTACATATAATCCATTTGTGAACAGATGATTAATGAAGGGTTTGCCATTATTTATGAGACAGCACAAACCACAGCTTCGTATAAAGAGAAAGTAGCAACTCAACTGACCTTCTTGAATAGTATTTGTACTCATCACCGTCCTTGTGAAGCAGAACACGCTCTCCATCGTATTTTGTCTCGATGAAGTATGTTTTGTTGTCCATCAACTTTTCAACCTGGTTAAGAATTCAAGACTGGCCTCTTATCATGATGAGATATTTCACTCAGTTTTTCAATTCTTTGTAGTCAAAGCAGAAATTATTAAAATATATTTACATAACAGCAATTTTCCAATGAACGCGACACAAATAATTATTTATAGGACAACATTTTTTTAAAGTGGGCAAAATATGCATTACAAGAATATTATACAATAATTAACTCTTGAAAATAAACCAATCCATATACTTTGCAAAATCCTTCCCCTGACCAAAAAAAAAGAAAGCATTCCGGTGGAAATCTTAAGAAACTTAAAAAACTGCAAGTCCTAGAAGAACATTCCTTGTTTTCTTTAAAGACGAATAGCATGTAGTTTTCCAGACTTAAGTGACAACATCTCAAGAAGCAAAAAACCCCCCCAAAACAAGAATTTAGTAATTATTATGACAAAAATCTAAAGGAAATACTATCCACTTAAACTGGTACCTTATCAGGTGACGCTCTTTCCCCCAGCATTGGTGTAAAGGGAGAGAAGACAGTGATACCGATCTCGTGGGCCCGCGTCTTAGGGTCTCGCAACAACCGGCAAACCTGATAGAAGGTGAGACATAACAACAGACTTCTGAACAAAGTAGGAGTAGATGGGACTAGACAGCAGACTTTTAATCAAAGTACCAAAAGATGGGACAAGACAACAGATTTCTAAACAAAGTACCAGATCATCGGACAAGACAACAGACTTCTAAATAAGGTATCATGTACAGGCAAGTATATTTGTTGTTAAAATTTAATGCCTTATATATACATAAGTTGATACTGAAGGTAGAGGCAGTCATACAAGAAGCAACCGACCTTTTCCAAGTTATTGTTGACGTTGTAGAGCTCCTCAGCGTCAGGGTGGAACACAGCCAGAACTGAGGCCTGACTGAGCCCAACCTTCAACTCCTTGACGATCATGCGTATGAGCCACTTCTGTTCTGTGGCACTCAGATTGGTCAGGAGGTGCAACATATGCTTCCGCACCGCATCCTTGGCTTTGTTGGCGTTGCCAATGGCGATGGCATCAAGGTCTGCGTTGACCTCTTCAATGCTGAGGGACCCTTTGTCTGGACAGCGGTTTTTTAAGACATAGTATGCCACACTGGCAAAATCTCCCGCATCCTGAAAATTGTTGGAGTCATTGAGTTTGAGATAAAACGTCTATGCTCACATAGTTCCTGAAATATTTTCAACTAAGGAGGCACATTTTGTGAAAAAATATACTTTCCTGATTTGAGAGGAACATGGCATTTCACAGCCACTGCAGAAGTATAAGCTCACACGCCATGAATCTGAAGACAAGCTCGAGAAAACCCTACATCCCTTTTCCCCCCTCACTAACAATAAAAAGTAATGTTCAAGTTTTAAAGGTTAAAAGATCAAATGATCAAGTCAAACCTCAAGGAAGAGTGGATGAATGATTGGGCCACAGGTACGACAGGAAAGAGGATGTATGGCCACATGAATAAACCACTGGTCAAAGATCCAATCAATGAGTTGAGGAGGGGAGATCAATTCATTATAATCTTCCAACTTAAAACACAACATGTACCCCTCAACCAACATCTCAACCGAATTGAAGTAAAGCAGTCTGCTGCCAGCCCACTATGTGACTACCCTCAGAGACAGTGGAACATCATCTGTTCTTCTGTAGAAAACTAACTGATTTAAGGGGATGTTTTCTTCCCAAGCTACCCCACACATCTAATTACCTCTACTCCTCAAGACAACAATTAGAACAAACATGCAACTATTACCGAATGGCATCATGCAGAAGAGTTAACGCTCAGCTGCTACTGGATCGCTAACAACAACAAAGGTTAAAAAATTTAAACACCTTTATGCTCTCATTAATGAAGAGAAGAGAAACTAAACACTCTACAACCCACACTGAAAATAATTATCCAATTTTAAAAACTAGACCAGTGTAAATAATTACATGTACATAGCCATGTATGTCCTCCTATAGATGACTCTCACGATTTAAGCTTAACTTAACCAGCTAGCTCAAACCAGTTTATTGTCTCAAACTTTCACATTACAGAGGGCATGATGTCCTATTCCACATAAACCCCCATATTTACATATATATCTTATCTCCAACTCCTGCTAAATACCCATTAGCAGGTTAGAAAAGTGAGGGAAGTGGAAAATAAGAAAAATTAGCATTTTCCATGGATTTAATATCCTAACCGGCTGGGCATTGACAAACTCTTTTAGAAAGCATGGCCAACACCTTATCACCAGATTAGAACATTCAATGAAGATCTGTGTATGGACAAAACAATGGAGAACTGTCATTTTTTAAATAAGAAGGTAAAAGAAAGCGTAAGAAGAAGAGGAAAGAGAGAAGAAAAAAAGATGAGATGTCGAGAGCAACTTGGATTACGTCCATAACCCTCCTTTTAAGATTTCCACTGAGGGATATTGTAAACAAAGAGAGCAAGAGCAAGAATGATGTAATCAAATTAACATTGCCCTATAATTTAATCAAACAATATATAAACTATAAAAATAGAACTTACCGCACGAGCAGTCTTTGGGGCCTTGAAGTGTAGCAAGCGATGAGCATCAGGACTTTCTTTGCCTAAACACAGAACCTCAATGAGAAGCTTGGCAAACATGTGCTACAAGGAGGGAAGGAGAGAAGAGAAACAGAAAGACATTACATGCAGTGCATGATTATTATTTTATTTATGTTTGACTCGTGATGTTTTACAAGTCTATTCCTCTCATTATTCACATTACTACAGATACAATTTCTCGACAATTTTGGTGCTCAAGAATGTTCATTAAAAAATTTGTGTCGCTAGGGTGTAATAACATAATGTTGCTCTTTCTCAAGTGAACGCATTACGCACTATGCTGAATGCCATGATCATTCAAACAGAAAGAAAGGAGACCATTGACCATAATGACTTATCCCAATAATCTTTTTGAAACAATATCAAAATGAATTCAAATCAAAGAAGAAGAAATTAGGAGAAACACTACTGCAACATAATTTGAGAGATAATGAGAGATGATTTGCTCTCAATAAGTTTATAACAATCAACAAAATTCATAGTGAGATAAGAGACAAACTAAAACTATGCAATTGGCACCCTAGGAATGTCATTAAGAAAATAAACCATGATTGTTGCTTGCCTCTTTTATTCCATACGCCATCCTCTCTTTCTCCAAATGAGGTAGTAGTAGTCGCATTGCTGGGTAAAACGAGTCAGTCTGTGGCAGAAAAGGTATCAACTTATTCAAAACTGTTTGCATGAAATTCTATAAAAGTGTTACTCCAGCTATTCAATACTTTGACAGATTCTGAGAAACCATTTCTTTTATTTTGCCATTTTAAACAAAATAGTTAGGGCCATTTTGACATTTTAAAATAGTCTACACATAGGACTCACTCTAAAAGAATATATTATGCCACTTTGCTTTTTTGAACACAGCTGTTAAAGAAGGGATGATAATTTAAAAAGTTCTCCCATCTGTTACACAGGTGAAAGTGAAAGCTTTTTATTGAAGGATTATTGGCACACAATACTTGAATACAGAAGAATAAAAATACACAACATGAGACAGTCACAATATACCACACACCGTATTAGGAGAGTCTTTGTGGACCTCATCATGAAACTGTCTCCATTTCTCCACAAAATCTCGTAGAACTCTTCTCTTCTTTTCATTCCCTTGCATCTTCTGTATCCTTTCTAACAGACCACAAAGTTCTGCAAAGGACACTTTGGAAGCCACTGTCACATCACTGCTGGGGTCACTCATTGTTGCAAGGCGTCAGCTTAAAAAAGAAAGCAAAAAAAAAAAAATTAAACTCTGGAATAGTGTATTACATTTTGTGCCATGGACTTGCTAAAAAAATGAATGCCTAATAATTGCCAGAAAAAGGCACTGTCAGAGGTTAACATCAGTATTCTGCTTTCTCTGCAAGTTAATTTCAAATGTAAGTCAAGCAAATACAGTCAAACCCTACTTTACCACCAACCTTGGGACCAACATTATGAAGTTGGCAGTTGAATGGGACGGGTGGTATAACAGGGTTTTAACCCCTTGATTGCACTGTAACTGCATCTCATCTAGCTCTCACTGGCAAAATTGAAAGCAAATGAGGCTGGTGCAGACCCAGAGCAACTTACTTTTAAAGTATATTAAAGAGCCTACACAGAAGGGTAACAGTGAAAAATCAGGAAAATGCCGCTGTTTTTAAAATATCGAGCAAAGGAATGAATGGAGAACTATGATCGTCCATGTCCGTCACAGATCTGACAATTAATGATGATTTTCACATCATTCACAATAAGTTGTGTACAACCAATGGAAATGGAATTAAGAAAAAAATTTTTTAATTGAAAATCTGATGCGGGTTCTTTGACGGGTAAATAAAAAAAATAAAAATCGGAGCACTCCAATTTTATCTGAGCACTTGGCGGATCTGTTGACCCACATTTTTTCCCTCCACTAAAAGAAAGGTTGTTAAGATATACTCATACTATGCTTGCTCTCTCTCTTTCATTACGACTACTTTTGTGTAAAAAAGATTTATAGTCACGTTTAGTTAGACCTTCCTTTACTGTTGCCAATTTTTACCCCTACAAATTGTTTTCACACTTTATGTGCATGTTTTGAATAGGTTTAGTTTATATGAAAAATTTTGGGACCTGAAAATCTGTTTGCTATATGTGCATGTTAAATTGGAGCACTGACTGCCCAAAGTCAAGGAAAATAATTCTGTCATGACTAGATGTTCTTCCAGATCAAAGGCCACTTTCAATTTTTATGCATTCTGCCTGAAATCTACCAGTACAAGACAAGGGTAAGCTGTAAGCAGGTCTGAGGGCAGTTTAACAGGGTCTGACTGAACATGATGGAAGATGACATATATGTGCTTGTACTTGCAGTAGGCTAATCAATATAGCCAAATTGGAATTGAAAAGCATGTAAAAGACAGAATGTAAAAAGCTGAAGACAGAACAGTAAAGACAATGATGAAAGAAGAAATAAAATTATAAACAGTAATAGCTGGGGTCTAAACACTATTTAAGCAGGTATATAATGTGTCTTAACCTGATGTAAAAGTAGCAGAAGTAGAAAAAAATTAAGGCCGAGGACTGTTTCTGGCAAACAAACTATAGTATAACACGTGGATAGCTCAAATTCGTCGGGACCTGCCTCTGTAGTTCGAGGGATTCGTAGTTTGAGGGATATCTTACAAAGGTAAAGAAGGAAAAAACAGGGACCGCTGGCACAGTTCGACGGATGCGTGATTTCGAGTCTTCTGTGTTCGACCTATATGTGTTATACTGTACAAAATTGTCACAATGTTCAAGTTCAAGGGGAATGCCAGATATGTCTAGCATATATACTATAGTATTATCATGTGAATATAGCCTAAAATGAAGAAAGTACTTGTAAGTATAAACAGTTTATTAAATTTAGAGGACATTCGGTTGATTTATAAATGTTGAATGAATGTTCGTCTGCACCTGCTATTCGTGTGTACTCAAGTATCATGTTGTTTGTGTACTCGCAGGTAGGCTACCTGTGTCAAGCGTGACTTTGTATTGTTATTGAAATAAAAGACATAATAATAAATTTGAAACAAAGACTGAAAGTTATTAAAAATTATTACTACGGCTAAGGTTCTCTCGGTAATGTTTCACCGTTCTCCACAACTAAACTAAATAATAACAGTCAGCAGAGGCAATTCAATAAGAAAAATCACATTATTAAAATACAGACGCTTTTTTTCCCGGTAGTTACCCC